GTGACACACTGGTGATTGCTAGGAGGGCTGTCAGAGGAATCCCCTGCTCTCTGTGAGGAGGAGTCTGTTCCCGAAGGGGGTGCTCTCACACTCCCATGCCAAGGGCTGGTTGCTGTCTCGCTCTGTTACTGGCTACGAGCAGCGCTGGCTGGGGCTTTTGTCATGGCAAATGTTTAAGCAAAGTCACAGGATGGCTGCAGTGAAAAGGGCAAAGTCTGTGGAAACAGCCTAATTGAAAACCCCCACCAGTGGTAGGCCATGTGCTGTGCCCACTGTGATCTCCTGAGTTTCCATTCCTAACCGTCAGTAGGGTTTCCAGCACAGGAGTTATAATTTATAAACCAAAACCCAGCTCTTTAAATACAGATCGGCCTAAACCAAGCCCCCAAAATCCAGACACCCCTGTACTCTGGGAACAGCTGAATCTAGAGCGGAACCTCTGCAGCTTGGACCCACCTGTCAGAATTTAAAGCAGGCTAGGAGGAGTAATTTGATACCGCTATTGGGGTATTAAGGCTCTCCCTGAAAATCCAGGGGCTGTGCTCCCTCCTTACCACAGCGTGTCACGGAGCTCCAGCTGCCTGGTGTTATGCATGCAGTGCCGCTGGTGTGCTAATCTCATATATACCTGTGCAGCTGCCCATCATAAGCATCCACCCCATTCCCTCGCTCACTTGTTCCTCATCTTCTGGTGCTCGCTGGCTTGTTATCATAGGGTTGCTCCCAGGCGATTGGCTGTGTAGAATCTCAGTGCTTGGCAGCTGGCATGGCTTGTGCAGAAGCATTAGTTTTGGAGAGAAACGCAAAAGATGAATCACAAGGACAAGAATGAAGATGTGTCGAGTCTGGGGCCTGTTGCTCTTGTCCGTGTCCCCTCAAGTCAGTGACACAGAGCGCCAGGCAATGCAAAGGTCAGGCCGATCTCACTCACAGCTCCTGGGGGGCTTTCCCAGCGTGGCTGGTATCCATTGCTGGGCCAGGAGGTGGCATCTAGTGTCTTGCCATCAAAGACCCAGTCCATTTCATGGACTCATTGTTCCCCACACAAAGCAGAGGCTGGAGCATTCTCCTAACCAGAGCACAGGGGAGAGGGCTCCTTTTGGACAGCGGAGGGCCGCATGGTTGACTATGCAGGGCCCCGAGGGCTACCCATAGTGTCAGACTCTCCCACCTTTACTGATGGTGAGGAGCAGCGTGCAGCTCAAGTGGTGCCATTTATTTCAGTGGAGTTACTCCTAGAGCAAGGCACTACTCACCGTGCGGGACGGGGCAGACAGTAGCCCATAGTCAGTATAAAATGGCTCATATTGAGTATGGCCTTTCAGGCTGCAGGACCCAACATGCAATGCCTCACCTTGAGCCAAGCAGCCTGCCGCCTGGCTCAGGTTGGAGTGGTGCATGCTGGGACCTGTAGTCACCATGTGCTGCGCCTCGCTGTTGAAAATTAGATTAGCCACGGGTCTTGTTGCTAAGCATTGTGAGCTGCCCCTTATCTTACCATCCCTCTTGCTTTTCTCTGGTTAATGTTTCTGTTCCTGATGATAACTTCAGTGTTTGCTTTTAATCTCCCAAGTAGTGGAACTACAGAGGTTTGCCTCTCCTAGGGAAGATGCCAGATGAGTCGTTGATCTTGCTCTTTCATTAAGACAAATGGCTGTAGTTACCGGTTCTCAGTACATGAGAGAATGTGCAGCATAATGCTCAAACCATCTGGAGAAACCTGGAACAGGGAAAGGGGGGAAATCACACGCTTCTGAGCTTGACGTAAACATATCGCTAGCCGAGAAAGAGCTTAGCCAACAGCTTTCGAGCAGGGCCAGGGAGGGTGCATGTGAACTCCAAGTGTTCCCTGGAAACCAAACTTAAAGGGTCATTGACACCTCATGGGAAATGTACAACAACAGCTGTACTTTGTGTAACATCTTCTGCGTTAATTATGTCCCAGTGCGTTTTGCAGAGCTAAGAAATAACCCTTTACATCTCTCTAACCCCTTCCCACTGAGTGTTTCAAAGCCTTCTACAGACAATGAATTGAGGCCCCCAGCCCAACCTCCTCTGGAGGAAGTTCACTATCATTATCGTTATTTGACACATGGGGAAACTGAGGCATGGAGTGGGATGTGACTTGACCAAGGTCACACGGCACATGGGCAGCAGAACTGGAACTGTTTCAGAGTAGCAGCCATGTTGTCTGTATTCGCAAAAAGAAAAGGAATACTAGTGGCGCCTTAGAGACTAACCAATTTGTTTGAGCATAAGCTTTCTTGAGCTACAGCTCACTTCATTGGATGCTGGAAGTGGAACTGGAAGCCAGGTCCCTTGACTCCCAGTCCTGTGCTTTAGCCATTCGATCGTGCCTCCTCTCCAGCTACACAAGAAACCTAAAGATTATGACTGACGTTCACCCATGCAGTGGGTCCCCTTACATCCCATCAGAGCTTAGTTGGTGCCTAATGTGATCACTGTAATGGCAGAGGCTGAGCGGCATTAAAAGGATCAGGGGAAAATGGATTCGGCTCCTTTTTGCATTTCTCTTCCTCCTCCTAGGATCAATAGCCCAGAAAGATGATCATGTACAAAGTCTGTGCTGCTTGTTCTGTCTGCCCATTCCTAAAGCCCTCTTCACCTGGCCACCTAGAGTGGAGGCTCCTTGAGGCAGGGATCATCTGTTTGTTCTGTTTGTACAGTGCCTAGCACAGTGTGGCCCACGATGAGGGTTCCTCAGAGCTACCATATTACTATATTACTATGCAAGTAATATTAATAGTCCCCTTCGCCCGCCGGACACTCTAGTATGTCAGGACAGGAAATAAGCAGCTAGAGCAAGTGAAATCCTGAGCAACAAAGATCCCATTTTCCTGCAAACACCCTTCATGGAAAGAAAGAAAGAAAGAAAGAAAGAAAGAAAGAAAGAAAGAAAGGGAGGGAGGGAGGGAGGGAGGGAGATTAGTGGCAAGTAGCTTCCTTTCGTGCAGGCGAAGTAATAACAGTCTGCTCAGGCCACTAGACCACACTACCTCCCACAATGGGTGTGCAGGAGAAACACCAACCACATTGTTAGAGATGGCTGCTGGGACCCATCTCCCTCCCCTGCACATTGCTCACAGAGATTAATCCAGCCTTAGGGCTTTGCAAACTGACCTGTATGGCCCGGTCTGGCCTCTAGGTACGGATCCAGCAGAGCACAGGAGGTGGGAGCCCATTGACGTGAGCTCTCCCCTCTCCTGGCCTCCTCCGCTGCTTCTGTAGCCTCCTGGGGCTCAGAGGCCGTGCCTGTACAGCGAGTGGCAGCCGGACGACAGGCGCAGGCTTGTGGGGCTCACAGGGCGCGGCTGTACAGCGTATGGCAGCCAGACGACAGGCGCAGGCTCCTATGGGTCACAGGGCACGGCTGTACAGCGAGTGGCAGCCAGATGACAGGTGCAGTGAACTGTGAAGTGAACTTCAGGGGAAGAGGAAATGCCCTCAGGGGCCCGGCCTGCGGTTTCATTCCAGGGATGGCAATGCCACTGCACTGACAGAAAAACTGCAACCGGATCCCCCAGCGTGGTCCCCTCCTAACTGGTCATAGGGCCACAGAGGCCACCATGGTGAAACGGGAGACAAAGGGAACCATGAGAAGAAGCAGCAGATCCCCAAACCAGACCTTCACCCTGGGAGGCTTGGCCAGAATGATGAGCCTGTGGCTAAAACCTGTATCTGGAGTCTGGAGAGCTGGCCTCTATTCCCGACTCTGCTGCTGCCCCTGGGGGTCTCCGAGACAGGGAGTAAGAGATCCCCTCTCTCTCAAGCTGTGTGTGAAGCTTAATTGTTTAAGGTTTGTGAAGCACTCAGAGACCCTCCATGCAACTGGTCATACAGAGAGAGTCATTGCCAGAACCAGGAGGAGGCCCCTCACTCCCAGTCCTGTGCTCTGGCCACTAGACTGCTCCCCCTCCACCGAAAGTGCATAAATAGTTTTTTCAAAGATACATTATTAAGGGCACAAGAGGAAACTATCCCACTGTGTAGCAAAGATCGGAAGTCTGGCAAGAGACCACCCTGGCTTAACCAGGAGATCTTCAATGATCTAAAAATAAAAAAAGAGTCCTATTTTTGACTATACTTTTGTATCATTGTATGAAAAGGTGTCAGTGATGCGGCCCTTGGGCCAATGTACTAGTCCTCATGTGGCCCTCGTGGTGATTTGAGTTTGAGATACCCGTTCTAAACCCAGAGCAGGGAGGAGCTCGGGAAGTTCGAGCCTCCATCAGTCTCTGAGTCAGCTTTGTGTGTGTAGGCCAAAGTGATCAGACTCGGGTGATGAAAGTGAGGCCTCTCCCTCTTTGCTTAGGTAGCCAGCTGAGAGCAGCCTCGTATTCAGCAGTTTGCATTGAACTTCAGTGGAAGTTCTGGGTGCTCAAAACGTTGGGAAATCAGGCACCCCAAATGAGAGTCTAAGTCTGAAAGTGTGGACCTTCCCCGCTCTGTGCCTTGGTTTCCCCAGCTCTGGGATTAAGGATCCTTCCCCTCCCCTGTAAAGTGCTATGGGATGTATGGAGAGCATGCTAGAGCAGTGCCAAGGGCTTCTGTTGCTGCTGTTATGGGACTTGTTTCTAGGAGACCTCAGAGCCACACCTCTCGTTACTGTGGCACAAGACTTTCCATTCCAAGGGGCTGTGCACAGCGGACTGAAGACTTTCCCCTGTCTGGCTACAACAGGCCTTGGACACTATCCAGGACCACTTTTTATTTATTTATTTATTTTTGTAAGATTTGAGCCCAAATGGTTCTGCCATTTTCAAGACTAAGGAGGGTTGGAGAAAACATTCTTGCTCCAAAGATGTGACTTTTTTTTTGAACGCATGGTGGGAAAATGGCAGGAACATGGAATTTGGCAGCTCTCTCGGGCCAGGCCAGGCGTTGGAGCAGGGTGTAAATTGGTTTTGACTTGCTACTTGAGTAACGACTGTGCATGTATCTCTGGGCCTTCATGTTTGTCTTGGTTCCATCTCTTGCAGGGCCTGAAGAAGCCGAATATTGAGGAGATCCGGCATGCAAAGAACGCAGTGTTCAGCCCCTCCATGTTTGGGAGCTCCCTGCAGGAGATCATGAACATGCAGAAGGAGAGGTACCCAGATCGGCAGCTCCCCTGGGTGCAAACCAGACTGTCTGAGGAAGTGCTGGCGCTGAATGGAGACCAGACCGAGGGCATCTTCAGGTAATGCTGCCTTGTGACTCTGACCCTTCTTGCACAGGCCAGCTCTCAGGGAGTTGCACACCAGGCATTCACTTCCAATGGAGAAGATGCAGCTGGATGCTTCTGTAATAGGGCAGGGTGGTCCATGAGGGCCCAGCAGGGGTCTTAGAAGGGAGTGTTGCATGCTGGGACATGTAGTCTTTCTTAGCAGCACCTCTGCTAAGGGTGAGGATAGCCACAGATTGCATTGTGGAGAACTGTGGCTTGTGCTGTGGCCACTTCTGCCTCGCAGTGTGACCTTGTGGAGCAGGCAGTTAGAGCATTCTCTAAGGGGCGACATAACACTTCCAAAGCCAGACGACAGCACTGGGTCTGGCTGTCTCTGAGCAGACTAGAGAAGCAATGACCAAGGGAGGACTGTTGCTAGTTGCTCATCTCCCCTCCCAGCCTGGCCCAGGCCAGAGCCTCGGAGAAGAAACCTTTGCGATCGATGGCATGGTCTGAGCCCAGGGTACTTTCTCTCTCTCCCTTGTTTCCTTTTTTTCTATTGCCTATCACCACATTATCTAGGCTCCAGCGCTTCCATCCAGGAACTCTGTCGTTCACCAGTTGTCATTGTTTTGAACAAGATTTAGCTGTGATATCTGTAACACATCCTGTGTGCAAGGGCACTGTTCCTGCTCTCCCACTGTCTGCCTAGGGCCGGGCCTTAGCAGTGGGGCCCTCTCTTGTCAGTGACAAAGCGTGATCATGAACAGTACGTTTCCATCGGGCCTCTCCTCTGGGACCATGCAGTAGAAAGGGCACCAGGGCATAGGAGATACAGAGGATCCACTCTGATTTCACAGGCCACCCAGCTCCTCCCCTTTCTTGGGGTTCTGCAGTGTGGGGGTGCTGCTGAGGGGAGAACAGTGTGTTCTCCCAGGTGGTCTGGGCTAGCTGTAAGCCATAGTGTATCCCTGTGGACAGAACACCCCCAAAGTGCGGTTAACGCCTGTCTGGTTCTAAATGGTTGGCGTCCCCGGTTGCTGCAATGGACCGAACCAAACTCCCAGACACTAACCCCCTGAATTCTGGGGAAGGTCACAACTAGACTTGAGTCTGAGGCCAGCCTCTTTCCCAAATGGGCCAACCCAACACCCGCCCCTCTGGATCTGCATCCCAGCTCAGTGCCTCTGGCCTGTCTCTTGAGATAGCCCTAGACTGAGTGAAGTGCAGCCTGCATGCATGCTGCCTAGCAAAATATTTCTCCTTGCTCCCTTCCAGCTCCCAGTAAGAGCTTGACCAGGCCACTTCCTACCCCTCTGCACTCATCCCAGGAGAACCCAGGACTCAGAAAATCCACACCCCACTGACCTTGTTCTTCAGCTCCCAAACATGGATTGTTACCCCACGGCTGGCCAGGGCCTCTCTGGATTTGCAGCTTGCCTTTCCCTGGAAATGACACACATTCCTTCCTGGTGGGTTTTTCTCAGGTAGCTTTATCTCTTGACTCCCTCCAGACACAGGAAGGGGACTGGCAGCCACCCCAAGCCTGCCATTCCCAAGAAGGTGACCTGAGAGCAGCTCCTTGGTGTGTGAATCCAGAACCACACTGGGCTGGGAAAGTTTCCCTGTGTCATGACCTGAGGCTGAGCCACCGCTGGGTGGCAATGACCAGAGGTGCTGAAAACCCAGGCAGTGATGGCAATAACTACGTGCTGCTGTGTGCTGGATCCTCTGCTGCAGCCTTTGGGAGGGGGGAGGGGAGTGAATTTCACCAGGACTATCAGACCTGCCTTGTGTTAGTCACGGCTCTTTCCTGGCCGCTGGACTGTGGGACATCTTCGCTTGCAGTTGCTCATTCACATCCCATTTGAGGCCAAGAGCATCCCCCAAGGGTTTCTCTTGTTTGTAGCCTGAAGGGATCGTCCTATGCACAGTGCTCAGTAATGTCACTCCTCACCTGGCCAGAGGGGTCGCTGCTGAGCCACACGCGGCCCTTCCCCGCCCCATGGGCTCAGCATGATGTCTGCTGCTGCAGGGAAATGTACCTGTCTATTACAATGTATCATGTCTGTCTCCCCGACTCCACACCTGGCAACTGTCTCTGGTAAGCAAGGTCTCAGCTGGTTACTCTGTCCCAAGCTTACACAGCCTCCCCCACAGGCTCAGCTCCGCTACCCCGGTGCTCAGAGAGAGGAGTCAAGTTGTGCAGGGGGTACAGTGACGGGATCCCCAGGGTACAACCTGGAACTGTGGGATCACTGTGCCCCCTGAACTCTGCAGCCTGGGGGCACAGTGGTCCCAATGCTTTGCTAATGACAAGCAAGAAACCCCTCCAGGTGCTGTTATCCCTCAGCCTCCAGCATGCAGAGACAGACCCAGCTAAACTGCATGAATGCTCTCCAAGCCACTCATGAACCATCCACAGGGAAACACCAGCGAATCCCCCCAGCCTCTAGCCTTGCACCCCAGAAATGTACCATCTTATACTGCTCAAGATCTTCTCTTGAACAATGCAAGCTCATTAATTAGTTTGCCACTTCGTCAAAGGATAGTGGACACGCACCAGCCTTTGTAATCTGAGCAGATTCCCCAAGCACTGTAGATGAACCCACTGGTAAAGATAAAACATTAAAATAAGTTTATTACCTACAGAAAGATAGCTTTATAAGTGATTATAAGTGGTAGGCATAAGGGTCAGAGCTAGTTACCTGAGAAATAAAAGTAAAATCACAGTCTAAATCCTAAACTCTATTAGACTTAGCAAGATTTGGATCAAACAGCTTTTCTCACCCCACTGGACGTCGCAGGCAGGTTATATACACAGGCTGAATTTCCTTCTCAGCCTGGACCCAATCTCCTCAGTTCAAAGTCTTTGTCTACCCACCATTCTTGTTGCCTTCAGCGTAGGTGAGGGAGGAGAGAGGTGGGTCTCATGATGCCGCTGTCCCTATTTTATACTCTCAATTCATGGCCAAGAGAAGATACTGGCCCAGACGTGTCCTGGTGGGGATGGCAGAGTCACAGAGTTGAGGAATCCTCATTGTGTGGTACTTGTGCAACTGTCTCTTACAGAATTGTAAATCTCTTGTTTACAATTTCCCTGCTGGTCCATGACTTGTACTGGTCGCTTAATGCTCATTTGGGTGTGGGTCACCTCTTTTGTTGCCACTGGAGAGCTAGGAGTGGGCATCTCCCAAACTCACAACCTATTTCAATAACAACCATGCAACAAACTCTCATCGCTTCATACACACTAACGATATACAGATTTTGATAGAACAATGAGTTTCAGCAGATCATGGTCTTTCATATGGTGTCTTACATGGCATGCTGTGTAAGAAATATCACAACCATATTAATGTGGGGGTTACAGGGTGCTACTTTGAGGTCCAGTGCATCACAGGTACATAGCAGTGACCGTCTACTCAAGCTCCTCCCACAATCCCAAACCCCACCCACATGCCCAAGATCATAGAATCATAGAATATCAGGGTTGGAAGGGACCTCAGGAGGTCATCTAGTCCAACCCCCTGCTCAAAGCAGAACCAATTCCCAACTAAATCATCCCAGCCAGGGCTTTGTCAAGCCTGACCTTAAAAATATCTAAAGAAGGAGATTCCACCACCTCCCTAGGTAACGCATTCCAGTGTTTCACCACCCTCCTAGTGAAAAAGTTTTTCCTAATATCCAACCTAAACCTCCCCCACTGCAACTTGAGACCATTAGTCCTTGTTCTGTCATCAGCTACCACTGAGAACAGTCTAGATCCATCCTCTTTGGAACCCCCTTTCAGGTAGTTGAAAGCAGCTATCTAATCCCCCCTCATTCTTCTCTTCCGCAGACTAAACAATCCCAGTTCCCTCAGCCTCTCCTCACAAGTCATGTGTTCCAGACCCCTAATCATTTTTGTTGCCCTCCACTGGAAGTTTTCCAATTTATCCACATCCTTCTTGTAGTTTGGGGCCCAAAACTGGACACAGTACTCCAGATGAGGCCTCACCAATGTCGAATAGAGGGGAACGATCACGTCCCTCGATCTGCTGGCAATGCCCCTACTTATACATCCCAAAATGCCATTGGCCTTCTTGGCAACAAGGGCACACTGTTGACTCATATCCAGCTTCTCATCCACTGTAACCCCTAGGTCCTTTTCTGCAGAACTGCTGCCGAGCCATTCGGTCCCTAGTCTGTAGCGGTGCATTAGATTCTTCCGTCCTAAGTGCAGGACTCTGCACTTGTCCTTGTTGAACCTCATCAGATTTCTTTTGGCCCAATCCTCTAATTTGTCTAGGGCCCTCTGTATCCTATCCCTACCCTCCAGCGTATCTACCACTCCTCCCAGTTTAGTGTCATCTGTAAACTTGCTGAGGGTACAATCCACACAATCCTCCAGATCATTTATGAAGATATTGAACAAAACCGGCCCCAGGACCGACCCTTGGTGCACTCCACTTGATACCGGCTGCCAACTAGACATGGAGCCATTGATCACTACCCGTTGAGCCTGACAATCCAGCCAACTTTCTATCCACCTTATAGTCCATTCATCCAGCCCACACTTCTTTAACTTGCTGGCAAGAATACTGTGGGAGATTGTGTCAAAAGCTTTGCTAAAGTTAGGGAACAACACGTCCACCGCTTTCCCCTCATCCACAGAGCCAGTTATCTCATCATAGAAGGCAATTAGATTAGTCAGGCATGACTTTCCCTTGGTGAATCCATGCTGACTGTTCCTGATCACTTTCCTCTCCTCTAAGTGCTTCAGAATTGATTCCTTGAGGACCTGCTCCATGATTTTTCCAGGGACTGAGGTGAGGCTGACTGGCCTGTAGTTCCCCGGATCCTCCTTCTTCCCTTTTTTAAAGATGGGCACTACATTAGCCTTTTTCCAGTCGTCAGGGACTTCCCTGGATCGCCATGAGTTTTCAAAGATAATGGCCAATGACTCCGCAATCACATCCGCCAACTCCTTTAGCACTCTCGGGTGCAGCGCATCTGGCCCCATAGACTTGTGCACATCCAGCTTTTCTAAATAGTCACGAACCACTTCTTTCTCCACAGAGGGCTGGTCACCTCCTCCCCATACTGTGCTGCCCAGTGCAGTAGTCTGGGAGCTGACCTTGTTCATGAAGACAGAGGCAAAAAAAACATTGAGTACATTAGCTTTTTCCACATCCTCTGTCACTAGGTTGCCTCCCTCATTCAGTAAGGGGCCCACACTTTCCTTGGCTTTCTTCTTGTTGCCAACATACCTGAAGAAACCCTTCTTGTTACTCTTAACATCTCTTGCTAGCTGCAACTCCAGGTGTGATTTGGCCTTCCTAATTTCACTCCTGCATTCCCTAGCAATATTTTTATACTCTTCCCTGGTCATTTGTCTAATCTTCCACTTCTTGTAAGCTTCTGCAAGATCCAGCAATAGCCCCCAAAGAGCTGGATGGCTGTGCTCAAGTGACCAGCAGGGAAATAGTTAATGCTGCCAGTTAGTAGCATGTATTCCCAGGCTGGAGGAGCAGGAGTCCTAGGGCAAATCTGTGCAGACAGTAGTGAGCTATACAAGGTACTTTCACAGCTCCTGCAACCACAATATCCAAGCACAATACACATGTAGATAGTAGTGAGGCATCTAAATAGCCATGTGTATTCAATCACAAATTTTATATGGCCAGGCACCATAATAATGCATGTGAGATGCTCACCTTTGTGCACACTTTTCCACGTGGGCAGCCTCTGGTCTGTATGTTTGAAAAGTGGACTGTTGTCATCATTAGGTTTAAGAGTTAACATACCATTAATCTGACGAAGGTAGTATTCCCCCCTCTCAGCTATTGTTTCAGTCTCTCTGCAGACTCAGGCAGGCAGTATGTTTAAAGTGCTCATTGTTGAGGTATCTAAGTGTTTCTCCAGACTCTGTCTATAACAGGGACTCTGGCCTCAGCCAAAGTAACTGGCCTTCAGCATCCAGTTGTCAGCATCCAGGTGGACCGAGTCTGAAACCTGTGGACATTTCTTTTCTGCACAGAGTGCCTGGAGATATCGACGAGGTCAACGCCCTCAAGCTGCAGGTCGATCAGTGGAAAATCCCCACCGGCTTGGAAGACCCTCATGTTCCTGGTAAGGGTTCCTGACCCCCCTCCCTTCACACATGGAATCCTGGTGCAAGGGGGAGTGGGGAGTGAGTCCTGGCTCTCAGCTTTGTGGGGGTGAAGCCAGCCAAGCCTGGAGTGGGGCCCTGGACAAGGGAGAGAGTGAGAGTAGAGTCCGAGAGCAGGCCTTGGGAATGGGGGGTGGGAGCCCACTTCAGGCACTGGGCATAAGCTGGGGAGGGAGATGAGGAGAGAAAGGACAATGCTAAGGTCTGGTGTGGCAGAGGGGATTGGAGAAGAAGAGCAACCTGGTCTGAGCACCAGGGGAAGAGCTGAGCATGCAGGAACCCTACGGGGGAAGCCCAGTACATGTGGCCCAGCCAGGCAAGCACCACCTCCAAGGATCCCCAAGGCATAAACACAGGAGAGGAGAGCCCTCCCCAACAGTGTGAGCTGTCTGGCTGTGGGACGCGACGGGAGCCCCATCGTCTGGGACTGGAGCTGGGCCACAGGGGCCCTGGCCTCAGGTAAGGGTACACCACTGAATACAGCACATCCATCCCTCCCTTCTTGGAGCCTGGCTGCCCCCGGGGCCACGCAGATGCCAGAGCATGCACCAGCTCTCTCATGTCAGGATTAACATTTTAGAACAAGTGTCCATGCTGCACTGAGGCGGCTGCGCGGCGGAGGTCGGGCTCACCAACAGTTGCTGGCTTGTTAATCACAGCTGAGCGGCCAAGCATGTCAGTATTTAAAGCCTTCCCGTTGATTCCAGCTGTATAATCCGCCAGCCCAGTCTGCTGAGCATCAGCTCTCTGCCTAATCCCTCTCCAGGACACAGAGCAGCAGGAGCATGGAGCTCACGGTGGGAGCATCTGCAAGGGACAACTAGTAACGTGGGATCAGTCCTAACCTCTCATATGGCAGGCTGGGGCCAGCGGAGCCAGCAAGAGTAGGGTGGACACTGACCCAGCCTGTGTAGGAGGATAATTAATTTCCCGCATACCCAAAACATAGCAAAGCATCTCAGGGAAGGAGTCTGATCACCGTTCCTCATAGTCAGTAAGGCCAAGAAGAGGTTCAGTTGTATTAACAATAGGATGAAGAACAATAAAGAAGTAGGACAATGGCCATTCTCTAAATCTGCTGTAACAACCTCATTGTCCCATCTCCAACAGGACACAGCAGAGATAGCAAAAAGCCCAGCAAGGGCGGCTGGTAATAGAGGTGTGGGATCCCATAAGGGGATCTCATTCAAAAAAACATTGAGAGACACACAGTCTGCTCATAAACTCAAGTGACCTTGTGCATCACAGGTGAGATCTGGGGCATATTAGTTTGGAGAGTGGAGAGTGAGAGGAGGGCTATGAAATCACAAAGCAGAGAGAAGATGGATCAGTCTTCTACATACCCCATCTTGTGGCACAAGAACCAGGGAGTGCTCAGTGAGATGGCCACATGTTTAGAATGGATAAAGGAAGCACATAGGCAGCCTGTGGAACTCACTGCTGCAGGATATAAAGACAGATAGCTTAGGGACAGATTCTGTCTTGCTGACTCACACTGCATAGTACCGCACAGGGCTGCTCATGGAATAAAGTGCTTCTCAGAATGAGTAATGAGGGCAGAATCCAGCCCTCAGTGTTTCAAAGAGCTAGCTGTTTGTATGAACATGGGTAGCAGTTTCAGTTCCCACTAACAAGATTGGCCAAGATAAGGGTTATCAAGCTGTGTGCTGCAGGTATAGAGTTGCCAACTGTCTAATCACACAAACCCAAACACCCTTGTTTCACTCCCTACCTCGCCCCTTCCCAAGGCCACACCCCTGCCCCGCCACTTCTCTGAGGCCTTGCCCCCCGCTCACTCCAGCCCCCCCCGTCACTCGCTCTCCCCCACCCTCACTCACTTTCACTGGGCCGGGGTAGGGGGTTGAGGTGCGGGATGGGGTGTGGGCTCTGGGCTGGGGGGTGGAACCAAGGGGTTCAGAGTGTGGGAGGGGGCTGCAGGCTGAGTCTGGGGCAGGGAGTTTGGGTGAGGGAGGGGGCTCAGGGCTGGGGCAGGGGGTTGTGCTGCGGGAGGGGGTGCAGGGTGTGGGCTCTGGTTGTGGTGTGGGAGGGGGTGTGGGGTGTGGGCTCTGGGAGGGAGCTTGGGTGCAGGAGGGGGCTCTGGGTTGGGGCAGGGGATTGGGGTGTGGGAGGGGGTGAGGGTTGCGGGTTCTGGAGGGAGTTTGGGTGTGGAAGGGGGCTCAGGGCTCGAGCAGGAGGTTGTGGTGTGGGAGGGGGTGCAGGGTGCAGGCTCTGGGAGGGAGTTTGGGTATAGAAGGGGGCTCTGGGCTGGGGTAGGGGGTTGGGATGTGGGAAGGGGTGAGGGGTGCAGGCTCTGGAACGGAGTTTGGATGCAGGAGGGGGTTCAGAGCTGGGGAAGGGGTTGTGGTGCGGGAGGGGGTGCAGGGTACGGGCTCTGGGAGGAAGTTTTTGTGTAGGAGGGGGCTCAGGGCTGGGGCAGAGGGTTGGGGTGTGGTAGGGGGTGAGGGGTGCAGGCTCTGGAAGGGAGTTTGGATGCAGGAGGGGGCTCAGGGCTGGGGAAGGGGTTGTGGTCCAGAAGGGGGTGCAGGGTGTGGGCTCTGGTTGTAGTGCAGGAGGGGGTGTGGGGTGTGGGCTCTGGGAGGGAGTTTGGGTGCAGGCCAAATTCCAGGCCAATGGGATCTGCGGAGTCGGTGCTCAGGGCGGGGGCAGAATGCAGAGACCCTCCTGACCGCGCCTCCTCTTAGGGGTCTCTGCCGGACATGTCCCCGCTTCCGGGAGCGGCACAGAGCCAGGGCAGGTAGGGAGCCTGCCTTAGCCCCGCTGCACCACCGGACTTTTAGCATCTTCTGAAATCTTCCGGGTGGGCTTCAGTGGCCTCTGGCAGATCGAGCCTGATTCCGGGAGACTCCTGGCCAAACTGGGAGGATTGGCAACCCTAGGTACAAACTGAGTTCAATACTATGGAAAAGTTGGATACAGAGTGCTGGCAAAGGGAGGCCAGTTAGCTCTGTGTATACAGCCAAGGGGCTGGAAATCAGGGGAACTAGGTTCAAGTGCTGGTTTAGCCATACACTCATTTTGTGACCTTGGGAAGCTGCTGCATCTGTCTGGCTCAGATTCTTGCTCAGGAACCTCCCAGCCAGGAATAAGTCGCCAGTGTCCATGCATGGGGAATACTGTCCCAGAGAAGTGGTAGGAGCACCCTCACTAGAGACACTTCAAAGCAGACCAGTCCAAGCCTCGTAGGGAAAGTCCCATGCTCACCCCTTCAGGGATGGACTAGATGGGACTGAACATCTTAGACAGGATTTTGATTTCTGTGGTGCTCTTAGTGATGCATAAGCCAGACCAAATCTCTCCATTTAACACACCAGGGGTCATCAGCAGACATCCTAGGATAAGCCTATGTCCTCCGCTAGCCAGGGTGTCCAACCTCTACAACCCTCTAGCACACGTGGCTCCATCTCGTTCTGTTCAGTAAGAGGTAATTTAACCCTGCAGGATAGGAGCGCGGATTTCTGCTCTATTACCTGTGGTAATCTCCTGCCATAACAGAGAGCAGCCGGCTGTAGCTTTTCCGTTCCTCTGGCCTGCAGGGTCTCTTTGGGGACTATGGAAGAGCACGTTGGCCTGTGCACGTGGGCTGGTTCTACATGAGTCCTCAGGAGCCCATTAGCTCCCTTGAGATGGGTTGGCGGGGCTAAAAGATGGCAGAACTGTTGGTGCTTTAGTTAGAGCCCTCTGCAGGGAATCCAGCCCTGGCAAGGCCTGGAAAGCATTTCCCAGGATGAGCGAGTGCGTGCAGGGCAAAGGGAGCGTGTGACCGGGAGAGGCAGAAGGCGAGAGGAAGAACATGCTGTAGGGGCAGGGACCTGCAAGGGGATCAGCCTTTGATCCTGCGAAGGTTAGAATGCCAGTGTCCTTTGCATGTAACCAGCACCAGCTGCTGTTGTGATCTAATTAGGGATGAGATGCCACCATGATGGGGCCCGGGGTACACCTGACAGGTCACTGTGCTGTCCTGGATACTTCCCCTCCCCAGGATCATGGCATCCCATCAGGCAGGCTGCTCCCAGGGCCCAAGGAATCCTGCTCCCATAAGAAGTGTTAACCTCACCACCGGTTTTTAACAGAAGGGGAGGAATTTCAACCCCTCTGGTGAACACATTTAAGCCTCTCTCTGGGTGCAACTAACCCCTCCATCCCTGGAAGGGCTCCCTGGCTAACAGTTGTCTGATGAGCAAATATTTTGCCTTTGAGATGTGCCAGCCCAAATGGCAGGTATCTCCACACCATTTCCACAGAGAATACCCCCATTCAACGCTCCCCTGGGAAAGTTATGCTCTCTCGCGGTGTCTCACAGCACACCCCCAAGAGCTGAGCTGCAGTGAGAGCCACATTTACTCTGCATCAGCAATGAGACTGAGGTGATCCATCTAGAGGTTCAACTCCATTAGAAAGGGAGAGAGAGAGCCAAGGAGAGAGAAGCAGGGAAACCTTGTCTGCTTACTGCCAGTGAGGTAGTGGTGGGGCTGGTCCCCTTATCTTATGTGGCTAGCCAGGAGCCAGGCAGCAGCAGGGTGCTGGCTTTTGTCTCTGCTGGGCCTAGCAATACAGCAGCTCAGGGAAATGGCCAGGCAGCTGGAGGGTGCTGTTTGGTGTCTGGCACTTGATGCCTCCTTGCAGAATGAAAATCTAGCCTTGCTGTGGCACAGAAGCTGGGAGATCCAGTGCCCCAGTCATGTGGGCAGGTCTAACCTGGGCGACTGCTGCACACCTTCCCCCACACCATTCCTCGCTTCCGCCCAGCCATGGGACTGCCCTGAGTTCTGTTCAATGGAGTGAGAGGCTTGGAGGCGAGTGTTAACGCAGATCCTGACAGAGTCTGCAGCATCCCAGAGAAGCTAACACTGCGGTAGATTCTACAGGCCCTCCCACTGGCCAGCGGGGGGGAAACGGCCCAGCCCAGACTTTCGGCACAATGGTCCATGATTACAAATGC